AGTACCTGAAGAGGGCCTACAAGAAATCTGGAGAGGGTCTGTCAACAAGGGCATGGAGTGATAGGACCAGGGGTAATGGTTTTAAACTGAGAGAGGGTAGGTTGAGATTAGATATAAGGAAGATGTGTGAGGGTGATGAGACACTGGAACAGGTTGCCCAGAGAGGTTTTAGATGACCCCTCCCTGGCAGTGTTCAAGGCCAAGTTGGATGGGGCTTTGGGCAACCTGGTCTAGTGGAGGGTGTCACTGCCTATGTCAGGGGGGTTGGAACTAGATGATCATTAAGGTCCCTTCCAACCCAAACCATTCTAGGATTCTATGATATTTGAAGAAGTCCTTTTAATGCTGATTAGCATGAGAGAAAAATATAATCTGAGGGTCTGAGTTTTGCAGTACCCCTGTGAAAGGGAAGTTTCTGCAAATAGCAAGAGATCTGATGAAAACTTTCTAGATATTGCCTATTCAAGCACTGGTCAGATATTATTTCTTCCAAGCATGAATTCCATTGCCAGAGGATACAAGTAAGTGGTCTGTTCACAAAAAAAGACATAAATAGCACTTGGGAAGTACAGAAATATCAAAATATTTCCCAGTTAATAGCTGTTCTTTTGTCAAGCACAATAATTTAGAAGTAAAGAGTGGAAAAAACCCAAGAGCCTTCTTGGCTGAGGCTATTACTGAGATTTAAAATTATAATAAGGGGAATCTATTTTTAATAAAGTGCTACTGCAATGTTTATTGCAGTTAAGAATAATTGTTATGATAACTCAATTTGTGGTTAATAATTTTAAAACAGAAAACATTATTATAAAACTTTTTTCAAACTCTACAATTATCTTCCACTTTTTAACATTATAGACTCTTTGATGGCACAGTGGGAGGTAGGAAGAGAGTATATTTCTTTCAAATTTCTGTCCCACCCAGTTTCTGAATGCAAGGTTTGAACGATAACTTTGGAGAACAAAGGACTGACTCATCTGTCAACCTCCCAGGTAAACTTTGGGTAACATTTGTTGAAATTTCTGAATATTAATATGAAAAAGTGCCTCAGTTTTGATCCAGAAGGACCTAGTATACTGTTGAGATGATTGCCCAGTCTGCCTATTCCTTGAGGACCTGATCTTGCTAACCAAACTTCTAGTTAGTGATCACTGTGGAGAGGAAAACAATAATCATAATCCCAAACTTCTGGGAGTTTTGATGCTGAGAAAGATGCAATGCTAACAATGTATTGACAGCATTTTTATACCATGAAGAATATTAACACTGCACAGAGGTTTAGGAATTGAAGACCCGCTTTTCTAAAGGATATGATTTATCCCACATGTTTAAAATACTGCTGTGCTATTTCTACTGTTTCAATTTTCTCTTTTAATGTGCCTCCTGGGACACATAACTATTCTGATGGCTTATGGAGAACCGTCACCATCTGCAGTGTGTCAGCTTCAAGGCCTGCACAGATTAGGTCTGCCAGCTCTGTGAAGTCCACAAAAACCCAGGTCTGCATCCATCCTTTCATTTTTGGAAGCTAAGCAGAAGCTTTTGTTAAGCAGCAATTTCAGTTTCTTGGTGCTTTATAATGTGTTATTATTAAAGAAAAAACAATTATGTTATTGTTGATGCTGAAGCAAAGCCTACAAATAATGAATCTTTTTCCAAAAATGGAGTTGTAAAGATTAGAATGCAAGGATGCATAAGACATGCTTTGAAAACACTGAATGTAGGAATTAGTTAAAAAATCTTACTTCTCTATTCAATTTCCTGTAGTTATAACTTTTGAAAAGTTTAAGAAAAATGCAACTCCTAAAACATTTTTTATTGAAGACTGTTTAATAATACCTTCTCTATGCACTTGAAAGTTTTGGCCAGTGTCAAGACAATGGTGCAGAAAACATCTACAGCTGCTTGTACAGACAACTAGAAGTAGCCTCATGGCTAAGAAAGCTTGCCTAGACATCTGATGAGCCATCCAAATATAATTCAAGCTATGAGGTGATCGAATGTTTCGATTCAATTTCTGAATGAAAAGACTTTCAATGGAATTTGGGAACGTCATAGCAGGTTGATGTTGGTCCCCAGAATAGAAGTCACTGAATCTTGATCACCCCTTTTCCTCCTCCAGTGATAAAGCATTCAGGTTCCCTACTCCTTAATCATTAACTATCTCAGTTTGGAGCAATCTGAGGTCTCAAATGCTACGTGTTGGATAAAGCAGATGGTTTGATGAGCTAGCTTGACTATACAGGTACAAAAGAATCCTACGAGATGCTCAGGAACAGCAAAGGAACAATCAGTGACATGATTTGGGATGCCCTTGGAAACTCACAGGAAGGTCTTCTGAAGTAAAGCCTCAGGTGGTCTCATATTTTGCTTGCTCGTACCAAACATGGTAGCAACAAGCTAAGAAATATGTGTTGTAATAGCTCAGTCAGTTATGGCTGACAAAGTCTTCACCAGTAAATTCCATCATTACCTTTCTTGAGTAAAGTTGCAGCCTTGCCACCTTGCCATTGGGTAGATTAGTTTCAAAATGTCCCATTTATCAAATTTTTTGTTACAGGCTTTCTGAGGTTGTCTTATAATTGTTGGGGATTAGTTTCAAAAACAAATACTACTTACTGCAGACTCCTAAACATTTATTGCAACCATAAAAGTTGCAATGGGTAGCATTACAGGCAATTTGAAAAATGAGATCAGAAATTAGGAAGAAGGAAGCATAAGTTATTGAAAGTGACATTGTACAAGAATGAGATCAAGTTGGGGGAGAAGAAAAGCAAAGCACCATGAAAAGAGGTAAAAGTTACCTTGAAAGAAAAGACTGACTTAAAGGAAGAATAAAGATGTGCTGAAGAAGCATAGTCACTGTTTCATCTCAGATGTTCTCATCTACATAATCTAAATACCTTAACTTTTTAATTTCTTCTTCATGTTCCCAAATGTAGAATTAGTTTGATTAATTGTATTTGAATTATTAATTACTTCTGCAGAATTTCTGAGGTGGTGGGTGAAAGAAGATGCCCAGTGAGCCCTTCCTTACTGATTTGAACACTAAAAATATTGGTCTGTCTGCTACTACTGAAAATTCTTTTTACCTATACATTTTGTTTAAAGCCCTTCCTAAAGTAACCTTTCATAACATATCATTCAATTTTTATGGGCCAACACTCGAGTTGCTCCACTGGAACTCTTAATTTTTTGCAAGGTATTGAAGCAAATTATTCATTTCCTAACATATTTCATTTCCTTACTGCAAAGGAAAACTAAAGCTGATCAAGAAAAGCAGGCAAAAAATCAAGCCATTTAAACTAACAGAGCTAAAGATGGCTACAAGTCTGTAGTTCACTAGAGGGGCTCTGATGATGTTTCAACTTTGGAAGCTTTTAAGTCAAGCACAGGGACCAAATTTTGATGCTGCATGCCCTCAAGAAAATCATCTTTATATGGAATATATTAGAGTATTTCCAAACACTAAATATGCATAAATAATGTATTTGGAACATGAAAGAAAGAGAGTAAGCTATTTGTTAAAGAAATGATAAAAAATGTTTGTTGACTGACTGGAAGGAGAGGGCTGCAATTTTGACTTAGATGTGAATGCAGATGCTTCCCTTTAGCAGAGCAAGGACAAATATTTATCTTACTTTTTTGAGTTAGAAATGAAAATTATTTCTATCTATCTATTTCTACAGCTCCTGAGTTTGTGGTTCTGTGACTACACAGAAATCAGTCATTTCTCTCACTATTTTATTTCCTACTTATTTTCCTTCTTATCTATCTGTATGAAACACTAATTTCCTGCCTTGTGTTTTTTAACTTTCTGCCTTCTGCTTGGTCTTTTTCTTCCCATGTTCTTTTAGCTTTCTCTAGAAAAATCCTTTATGCTTTCTTTTCAGTGCCCGGTCCTACTTTTGAATGGCTCTCCTGATACCACTGTCTTCCATTCCTCTGTCCTCACAACAACTGCTTTTCCATTTATGGTGTATATTAAGCAAAATACCATAGTTTACTTGTTACTCTTTTTTACATATATGAGCACTACTGATTACTTTTTGTGTATATAAGTAGCCCCACCCACATTGGCAAATGTATATACCAAATAAAAATAAAATAAAATAAAATAAATCATGTTTTCAGAAAGCACACAAATATAATTATGCCTTTTTTCCATTTGAATACTCTTCACATCATGTATTCTGTAACAAATACTGACGAATCTTCTGAGAAGATTTTATAACGTGTTTGATCTCAGAGTACCACTAATAATCTACCTATGCTATTGTGCACTTGGATATCACTAGAAACAACATGCTTTGTGAACTGGAAATTTGATTGAGCCCAATAGTTGGATGTCCCTCAGGCACCTTCAGTCAGCAAGAAGTTGGTGTGGGTTTAAATTTGTCTGAAGGTAAAAGGCTCCATATTCCTTGAGCTATTGCACTGTCTTAATTTTCTCCTTTTTTTATTCTCCTCCCTTTAGATAATCCTAGTTTGATATCAGGAGATGTCAAAGAGGGTATAACAGCTCAAGAACGTCACTGAAGGGTTATTACATCTTTGACAAGCTAGAAGGCAGAAGGGATGGTATATCTTGTACAATCTGTCTTTGTGAACTGTTCTGATACCAAACCTTTGCTCTCAAGCACAAAGTATTGCTGTAAGACTCATTTTATTAGTGGGTGGTTTGAGTTGGACATGGGCACAGGTATCCTCATATGATCTTATTTATCCCAGAAGAGTCTATTGCCTGATGGCTGCAGCTGTAGAGGAGTGGATTTGATGGCCTAGACAGTCCCTTTCTGATCTGAATTTCCAAGTTCCTCATTTTTCTGTACATGGGAGAATATACACAAATGTTATGTTAGCTGGGACAAAATAATTTATCTCTGTAAATAGTTATTGTGCACTTTCTTCCTTGTGATACACCCTTTCCTGTTAACCAGTCTAGGCATGGGGTGAAATGCTCACCCCCACGGACCAAAATGTTACCTCTAGTGTCTCACCTGGCCGATGTGCCTTTGGAACTGCCATGTTCATCACTCGCCCTCCATCCTGAGGTTTGGGGGGGGATGCTGTAAACCTGCAAATCCCCGACTCTGATGGCGTGCTTGAGGTCAGACTGTCTGTGTAGTCATTAGTCCCTGCCGTGAGCTGCTCCGATGATGTGTCTGATATGAAGCATTCTGTAATGGTGAACTTGGCATGTCTCAGCTGCTCTTCCATTTTTGCATGCTCGTACGCTCTCGCTAGCTCTTCGTATGTTGAGGAGGCACTTTCTGTAGAGACCATGCTGCTTCTCGCTCGATCTGAACAGAAATATAAATAATGGGAGAAAGAAAACATCTGCACAATCTTTTTTGGAAGAAAAACTATGAACATGATAGTATTTCTTAATAAAATGCAGAGCCCTTGAAATTATCAAGGTAATTTAAATGAGTCTGCTTCACTATAAATGTCTGCAAAATTTTAGTTTAGTCAGTTACTTGATAATTACAGATAATCTAAAGTGAAGTCTTATTCTGCTAGCAGCATTATGTGGCTTAGCATTAAATTCATGGTTTAGAAGAAATAACCTTTAATACATGAAAAAGGTTACTTTTTAACAAAAATAATTTCTCTAAAAGTTAAATGCCTTAAAAATGTTAGAAACAGATTTAACAGAATGAGGAACAGCTTCTTTACATTATCTTTTTCCTGCATCTCAGAAATATTTCTGTGACGTGATGTCTAGGTAAGAAAGGATAGTCCTTCTGTACCTGCTTCATTGTTCAAACATTTTCATACGGAACAAAGGTCTTAAGAAAGCAATATTGTTTGGGAGCTACCAGCCTGCAGTCATTCAGGTGCTTTTTTCAATGCTGCTGAAGCTAATGGGGGCTTCATATTTGACACATGGGCTATTATGACCTAGAAGCTGTTCTTTTCTGCTGATGAGTTTCTGAGAATATCAGTATTTCTTAAGCACTATTGTTGAAGATGTAAATGGCTACTGATACATTAAAAAGCATTCTGGAAATGCAGCGCTCACTTCTGTGAGGACAAATCACTGGTCTGTTGCACCCATCGCGCTTCTACTTCAGTGGGCTGGAAGAGCAGAGGACTTTCAAAAGTTCCTTGGGCAGAAGTCATGTTTCATCACAAGATCTATACAATTTCAGACTTTGTGGTGATGTTCAATAAACAGGCAAAATGTAATAGCTAATTCATAAAAATGGGACTCCTATAGCAGCCAGAGGCAACTGTGTTTTATTGCAAATCTTTATCTATTTTATTGTGTGCTAGGATCCTTGCATCAGTTTTCATTGTGCACAAAGAACAACACTCCTCCTCCAAGGTAAATAGGACCATACGTTATTTAAAATGACAAATACTTCTACAATATGCTGTAACTTGTTTAAGATTTTGAGCTGGCCAGAACTTAAACAAGGCTTTTTTTTCCCACAGGAAACATCATTCTGTTTTTCAAGTTTGATTTGTAAATCAAAAAACCAAAATAATGTCTTTCCAAATTTCTGGTCAACTAGAAAATCCTGGAAGGCTGCAGTTGCCCAGTGCCATAGAGCAGTGTCTGTAAATATGATGGTCATGCAAAGGTCCTGCTCTGGTCAATGAAGCTCAGGACCTGCAGCTTCCTATATGCCATGCCCTGGTGAGACTATCCCAGGGAGAATCTGCTTGAACACCTATTTCAGATTTGATGAAAGTTCATCCAAGTCCAAAATGAACTTCATGAAACCTAGATTAGTGAGAAGATTTCTAATGTCCTGCAGTTAGAATAGTAGAACTTAGTTACAGCTATGAATTGCTGCAATACATTTCTCCTAAGCTTAAATGCTACCTGGAATTAGTTTGACAAGAAGTGCTAAATTCTGCCAAATATCAACTGCATCAACTAGATTCAGAAATCTGAACTGATCTGAAAAGTGATCAAAGTTGCACATTAGTTCAACTGATTCTTGAACACATGATTTGGTTACATCTATTACAATGTTTATTTGAAAATTTTAAACTTCTGAAGTACTTAAACTGACTCTATTCTTTCCCCAGAAAGCAAGTGTCATAATAGAGCTACATTTTGGCACCAGAAAACCTTTCTTGAGCATGACCTAAAGCTTGCTATCCCTTACATAAATCACTGTGTGTTCAAGGGTAGACACAGAGTAGGAAAGTATCCACATTAAAACATAAACTATGAAGTCTGTTTATAAAATTGCATGTAGTTTGTCTAGTAAACCACACAGCAAATTGAATTCTCTGCCCTTTGCCACACACATTGGAAAACATCCTTGAGTGACAAAATGTCAGAACACATGCAAGTGCACCTGAAATCTGGAATGTCTACAAAAAGGGTTTCTGAGATAACATTTGCTATTTATATTTGTACCTGTATAGCTAGTAGAGTTAATCCTTAAAGCCTCATGATAATTCTACCTGAAGAAATCAGAATGAAGTTTGTCAGCTGGCTAGGAGTACCTGTCGAGTGCCATTACCCTATGGAGACAACATAGGGGTCTGCAAGTTTAAGAGGATGAGTCGTGAAAAGATGAGAACTCCAACCTATAAATTACTGGATGTAAGGGAAGTCAGATGCTTATAGAGAGAATAAAAACCGTCATACTGGTTTTCATGGTGAAAGGCCAGTCACACCTGCTGCTTCATAGGTCTAACACATAGCTTTTTCACATGACTGACACTTTTCCCCTAAAATCAGGATGGAAGGTAAGCAATTCTTTCTGAGGAGGCCAGAGTAAGCCTGGATTCACTTTTGTCAGGCATACCTTTAAATAGTATTTTATCTTTCTTCATATTTGACCTTTATTAAGTTTGCTTCGTGAGTGTTCTTCTGCTTAATCATTTACTCATGTATTTGCCCTTTTCTTTTTTTTTGGTCACTTGTTCAGTGTAAGGCAGAGGACAAACCTTCTTTTTTTCAGTTACAATTGCATTTATAATGTAAAGACATCAAAAAGAGATTAAGACTGCAGGCAGAGTACTTATTCAGCATCTCCCCACTTATCATCTAGAGGAATAAAACCTATGCTGTTTCTCAGGAAAATCAGAGCTAGCTGCTGCAGTATTCAGTGATATGAATGGATTTTCACTTGGACTCTCATTCCAGATTTTTCCCTCTCATTTTTTCAGCTTAGAATAAACCTTATGAATGTATTACATGAATGGGAAAAGGAAAAGACTAACCTCAATGTAGCTCAAACCTTAAAACCATTCCACCTACAACTCAGGCATATTCTTGGTTGCTAATACTGCCCCTTCCTGGTCAATGCCATTTCATGCAGCAAATTCTCCTACTTGTTCCTTCAGATACAGGAAGTACAGCACTTCAGCTACAGGAATACCACCATGTCTTTCAAAGGACTCTAGTATGCCTGTGTGGCATAAGAAACCACATGCACAATATTTGTTATCATTAGCACTATATGCATTTGTGGCACCCCTTATAAATAGCCTATAGAAAAACACCCTAGCAAGAAAAAAATAATGACACCTAAGCACCAAATGGAGTGCACCAAGGACCAAGAAGGTTACTGCAGCTACTGCTGTCCCGTTTTCACAGCGCAGCCCTGCAGAGCCTCGTACCTGTGTCCTGCGAGGGGCTGACGCTGTAGCTGTCGCTTTCCTTGTCCACTGATCCTGCTGGCCTGGGTGTGGGCAGCCTCCAGTCTGTGGTGAGGGTATGAGCTGATATGGTGGGGTGAGGTCTGTTGAGGGTCCACTGACTAGCGTAGCGGTTGCGAGCTGTAGGTCCGGTTTTGGCACTCCTCCTTGTGGTAGGATCTGTGATGGATAACACAGACTGTCTTTGCCACTAGACTCTTGAATTGATAAGGAAACAAGCCCTGTCAGAAGCAGATGGCCACTGAAATCATGTTGGTTAAAAAAACCCACAAAACATTCTTTGTGGGGGAAAAAAAAAAAGACCAGTGGAAGTGCTGTTCATTACCAAAGTACTCATGCTTTTTTGAAATACTCCCTTTTACGAATTAAACCATACATTATTAAAAGGGGGCAACTGAAGAGCTGACAGCCCCACCAATCTCCCATTGACACATTCTTTATCCCTTTAGTCCAACACAAGCAGTTCTCCGGTACCAAATCCACTTTGAGAAGTGAAAGAGCACAAGGCAAGTAGGTCTGGTTGGGATTTCACAGCACATCTCAAGCGAAGTCTAAGGTAAATTATCAGTGTAGATGTGTCCTCAGAAACACCCTGCATCAGGTACCTGCCCTCAGTTTGTAAAACCTGTGCTCAGAAATATGGTGATATAATTTCCTATTCCAGACCTTTTACTAATACTTTTACTATATTATGGTGTTCATCAGCTGTAGATTCCCTATTTTTTTAACAAGTAGCCAAGATATAAAACATAATAGTGCCATCAGAGTTTCAGTGGGAACAGGTTCATAAAGATTTGAACATTAAAAAAAATTAGTAAAAAAATACAATTTCTTAAACTTTAAAAATCATCTGATACTTGTTTAAGGTCAGCAATGTTTTATTTTTTATTATCCTAGAGATAATATGGTGACCAAGGGAGTAAAAGCAAACTATCTGTCAAAATTGACCTCCTCAATTTTGTTAATTAGTAATTCTGTAAAAGTGAGTCTTGTACTCCTTAACAAAGCAAGTGGAATACAAAATTCATTATGTGGCAAACAGAAAGTGACTAAATCAGCACTGAAGGATTTCTCTTCGAAGCTTCTGAAAGGAAATTACTAACAATAGAGAGAATGGGTATTAGAAATGAAAAATTCAAATCTATTCAAATGTTCTTTGACATTCAAATCATGAAATTGTCAGTCTTTGAGGTAAAAGACTTTAGCAGAAGCAATTTAAAGAAAAAAAAAAAAACAATACCCAGATAATGACTCTGAGTATTGCTTCTGCCTAAGCAACCCCAGTAAGAATTTGTATTCTGCTGCTTCAAAGGAACAAGGAATTTATTTACAAATGTCAGCTATGGTCTGATCCTTCTCCTATTTCACATCTTCCCTCTACAGCAGTGGAAAAATATGAACCCGGTGCCATTGATAACTGATCCTCCTGGTAGCACAACACATAGCCGCCTCAGATGAATACCATCCAAAAATGCACTTGGCACAATGTGACCAGCCTGTCAGTCTCAACCACCGCTTGAACCAGCTGTGGAAAGTTGGCACGTGGCTGTTCTGTAGCCAGAAGCGAGCCTTGTGCCTGCTGTGAGGGAAGACATGAAGGACAGAAGGAGAGTGCTGGTGGGAAAACTCTCAGCATGGTGCTGGGGCTGCTTGGTCTGGGGCAGAGAAGAATCGGGGGAATCTCATCATCATACACAAATATCTGAAGGGAAGGTGCAAAGACGACAGAGCCAGGCTCTTTTTGGTGGTGCCCAGCATTAGGAGGAGCTTGCCTCTGAACTTCAGGAAACACTTTACTGTGAGGGTGGCTGAGAACTGGCGTAGATTGGCATGAGAGGTGGTGGAGTCTCCATCCTTGGAGGTATTCAAAAGTTGTCTGGGTATGTCCCTGGGCAACCGGCTCTAGCTGACCTTGCTTTCAACTAGCCAGTGCCCAGGGGTCCCTTCCAACCCTCAACTGCTCTCTGATCCCGTGACTCAGTAGGCTTTCATCAGAAATTTGAAGGAGGCAGAAGAGCCTGCTGCCAGCACACAGGAGGTCAGTGCTCATCCTGCTGAGCATCAGCTGAGCAGTAGCTCTGCCCCAGCTGTGCTGTGCCTGCGTAAGGGTCTCTGTAACACAGACACAGTGAGCGCCAGAACTGCCAGTGTGATGGAAAACAGCGCACATCTGGTGCCCCGGTTGTTCAGCCAGCTCTGCTGTCATGTGCTGTAACATAACTGTAGAGAGCTGAGGTGAGCTAGGCAAAGGTTCACGGAGCATAACTCTTTTATAAATAAATACAAAAGAACTAGAGAACAACTTAAAAAGTGCTGTAAGGGAATATTTGCCAAACGGTGAGCACGCTCAGGCAGGAGGATTCATAACCTCTGAGGTGCCCAGCTGGGCACTGAACCCCTCTTCACACAGAAAGCTGTGGGTCTAAACAAAATCTCATCGCCTAGCCTCTACCAAAGCTGTATTAGTGTCTTAAATCCAGAGAAAACAACCTAAAAAGTCTCTGATCCAACCCTGCACACTACTGCAATCAGATCTTTACTGCAAAATTAAAGGGATGGTGGATTTCTATCCCCAAAGCTGGGCTGGACACAGATCATACTCTCACATGAGTCAAACCCCATTTTAATCTGAGGGAAGTATCCCTGGCTTCAGTGGACTGAAGCACATAACTGCACACAAAAAAGGGATTAGGAATGGAAGATGTTGGTGCTATAAAATGCTGTAGTGTGGTACAGGCAGGCAATTTTTGGGTGGTGCCTCTTATTAGTAAAGGCAGGGTTGGAAAACAATGGAGTCCATTGTTTACTCAGATGATCTTGATCTGCCAACATGATCAAATTGATATAATATGATTTGCTCTTAGTGAGCAGGCTAGCCAGCATGTACATGAACTAAAGCCGCAAGACAAGAGTGGTACCAGAACAAAAACAAATGTCATATTTTGAATCTTCTAATTTAAATGTCATGCCTCTCCATAGATGAAAAATGTACTGATCTAGTCCTCAAGAAATAACTAGCCATATCTTAACACTGTCAGAGTTAGAAAAGCAGCAAGGTCCAAACTAGAACAGCTATCATTTATAAAGACTAGGGTGGAAATGAAGATGAAATTAAGATTTTTCAAATAATCTGCATTTTAGGTGATGCACAACTGAGCTTTCAAGCATTTATGTTCACCAAATTCACCAAGTAAAAAAATTCTAAAATGTCAGAGGGTAGAAATAATCCAAGAGATTTTAGAAATTGCACGCTGCTAGTGAGCTACACTTTGGTAATATTCCTAACTCATAAGTATTCTTTCAATCTAGTCATTTTCTTTTCCATATACATAGATGTGGAACACATTCATGAGAGAAATTAAGAATGGATTGCAGCAGTATATTAATTTATTATAGTATTTTAATCACGATAACAATAACTCAACATGAATGTATATGGGAATAGTAATTTACCATAATAACTAAAACTGGAAATACAACTTTTTCAGAAAAGCAATAATGAGAAATGTATTTCTTGCCTGATGGAGGGGTAAGGGGGGAAGATGTATTTTGAAATACAATAAAGATTGATCACCAATAAAAAAAAATTAGACACTAAAAGCCATTAAGCTAATTTACTCAATAAATTCTAGAAATTACTATCTAGCATGCATTTGGTTTAATGAAAGCCAGGTATGAATTATTTCAAATCACACCTACATTTCAGATGCATATGCAATTTTTACCATATTGAATCACTAAATGCAATTGTATAAGAAATATTCTCTGCTGACCTAAATAGATTTCTCTCAACCTTCAGACTGAAGAAAAAGGAGCACAGTATTCATTTTCTTATAGCTTTCTCCTCTCCAGATAACATGTTCTCTTATATGCTTACTTGTTCCCGGCCGGGCATCAGAAACATCCACCAGTGGTCCTGTAGCTTGTGACACAGACTGGTAATGTACTGTGTGGGTGACAGTCAGTGACTTCTGCTTAGATGTCTCTCCAAAGTCGGCATCGGTGAGCAGAACTGTTGATCTGTCATCTGTAAGTAAAGAAACCCATCAGATCTGGAATAATGAATTTTCAGTTTGCCTTCATAACACCTCTACAGCAAGTCCCCAGACTTATTTTCAGCTGGGTGTCACCACTGACAGCTTTTCAACAACATAATTTATTTCTTTTTATTAATATAACTAGTAATGTCCTTAGTGAAATCACCCATGTCTTCCCAAAAGGAGGTTGTTAGGGAATATTGCTAACTAACTCTCCACCACTCAGCTTTTTCTCCAGAGACAGAATATTGTAGAAGGGATGACCACGACACAAGACTGTTCTTAGGGAGCTGTTTATTAGGGAGCATGTGAGTACCATAGTGAAGAAAATGGCAATACACTTGCAGGGCAGCTGAGCATCCTTAAGTCCATGTATTGCTGGTCTGGAAGCTAAGGGCTAAGTCCTACCTACCTCTCTCTGACCAAACCTCACTACAAGTAGGTTTGAAAAAGCAGCTTTGGGGAGCTTTAAGTGAGTTGTGTAAATTTCTTACAACATAGTCCAGCTGCCTATGGGCTTTCCTGCAGCAGCAAAGAAAGGTGCAAGGTGAAGCCTGACCTTGGGAAGGACTGGGAAAAAAGGTGAGCACTGACCTTTACTGCTGTAAGGTTGTACTGCCGATTGCTTCCCTATGGGGTGAGATATATGCACCAAATTTCTACACAGATCTTGATCCCTGCAGAAAGCCAGTGCTATACAGCACTTCTTCCCCCCCCCCCCACCAGTTGTGATATCTGTATTGTATTTATTTTGCTCCAAAGAGGAGTGTGGTCCACTTGATTGTGGAAGTTTAACAGCATAAATCTTCCACTGACTCTGTGCTTGCCGCACAATTATTTGCATGATATCAGACTTTCTTTTGCATTCTTTACAGTCTTTTTATCCATTCCTAATAGTAATAAAAGCCACAAGAAGTTCCTTCTATGCTATGCTGTATAGCTTTGTTATGTATTTCTCAGGGGACTGACAGCAGTGGGCCTTCCACACATTTACTACTCAGCAGAGGTTGATCCACTTCTTCTAAGCATTTCTGGTTTTTGTTTTTGTTTTTAACTTGACAAGACACCATTAAAGCGAACAGTTCTGCACAATAACATAACTAGCATTTTTTACCCAAAGAAGGCCATAAATAGAATGAGCATTATGAAATCAAATTACTCTGTCTCTGGCAAAAGATGAGCTCTTATTCAGGTTGGGAATAAAGCATCTTGGCAGTAAAACTATGTCAAAGACTGCCAAAGTGCCTGCTTATTCTGAGTGCTTTGTGGAGAGCTGGCTATTACCAAGGCCCCGATCGCATTGCTACAGTTGAGGGGCTCATGGTATTCCCACTATAACCCCCCATTGCGCAGCAACTGTAAGTCAAAAGTAAAAACTGTCTTTAGGATGAAGCCTGCACAAAAGACTGCATCACACAGGCAAACTTTAGGAAGCTCAAATCAGGATTAAAAAAGTCTCTATTTCAAGTGAAAGAAGCACAGGTGTCCTTTTCAAATCTGCAGCAGAAACTGCGAAATGTCCCCTGAGGCCAACACCCCCCCCCATGCCAGACTGACAGCAAGTGTGACAGGGTGAGGGGCTAAAGCAGCTTGTCCCTCCCCATTGCGGGCATGGACAGGAGATGCAGAGATGCTGCCTCCAGGCTTCAGAGCTTTCCTCTCTGGCCACACCATCCCTGGGATGCTGTTACGTTCTCAGCCATCGCAGGTTTCTTCTACACAGATTTTGATCCAAAAAAGTTAGAAGTCTGACAAGATCAGTCATTCCTGGGGGTCTCGACACAGTGTGTAACCACACAGCCACGGGATCAGGTTGTATTTTTATTCTGTTCAGATTTCAGACATCTTGTGTTTAAATTATTTGGAAAAAACCCACAACACCAAACAATTATGTTTTTCATGACAGTTCAGCTATGTGCCAGCCACATGAAACATCTTGCTATCTGTTGTGTGAAACAGTTTAGATTTGAATTTTGTGTAGATACACAAAAGCTGAAAACTGATCAAAATGTTGAAATATCATTTGCTATGAACAGGTGGATACAATATGCAACATGTAAGTTTTAGAAGCTGGCTGTTGCTAATCTTTAAATACTGATATTGTAGTTTCAGAATTTCATTTTCCTTGTAACTAATGCCAGTGATCCAACTGTCTAGTCAAAGCCAAAAGAGAAATCAAAATGAAAATCATAAAACTGCCAGTCTTTATTTACATTTTCTTCAAGCGGCTCTTTCCACCAGCTTAATTTTCCTAATGTCCTGCATTATTTTAAATACTATACTGAGATTACTTAAGTGGAAAATTATTCAAAGTGAGGGAAAAAAAAAACCCAGTTGAGTTTTCAAATGTGACAAAGTACTTGTAGCTCTTTTTTTCTTGCTGTGTGCAGTGGGGAAAAGGTGTGGGGTAAAGGAAGTCCACATAAAGTGCCTGTGACATTAACCAGTGAAAACAAGCTCAACAAGAGTTTACCAATAGTCTCCATTGTGTCTCTCTCCTCAATCAGAAGCTGTGCTCTGGGAATGTCTATGTGCATCCTCAGTGTTTGCTGCTGCTTATTAAGTGTATCTGATGTCCTGGTGTTCTTGCTAAAAACAAAAGAGAAGCGAACCAATTAACATTCAGCCTAAATGAAAAAATACTTGCAAACTTCCTATTTTAAATCTGTCCAGCTCAAACAAAAAATAATATAACCATACTCAGCAAAATACCCATACGTCTTATTTTCCCCCTCTTCAGAACAAGTGCATAGTGTTCATTTATTGTACATGAGAAGCAGTTAGATGAATGCAGTGTTGAGGGATTTGGTCTACTATTTATCAGCAGGGATCTCCTGAAAATTTCATGTAGTTTTCTTCAAGTGTTGTCATATAATGAAATTAGTAAAAACACTTTGCAAGATGGACCTTTTCTTTCATACCTCATGAATATGAGTAAAGAAACACACAGCTGATCAAACAGGTTGGTAGGAAAATGATGTCTTGAGTAATTTCTAATTATTTTTTTAACTTTTCATTATTTTTCATTACATAAATTCCAAATATCACTAGAATTGATAAATGAAAAAGCAAATTAATAACTAGGGATTCCATTAATAAATTGCATAAAATAAATAAAGGTTTTAGTCTTATTGATGTTCTAAGACTAAAACTGCAAATGTTGTTTACATTAATGGATTATTTCTAATTGATAGATGCAATATTCTAAAAAAGAATATAAAACAATTATTCTATCATCATGCAAATTGAAACAATTTCATTTTGAAGTTTGTGTACCAGAAAATGACTTTTTAAATGAGCTGTCTACCAAAAGCAAATGAAAATGGATAGTAAAACTGAGTGCTACAATCATTTCTGCTACACAGCTTGCACCAAGAAACCTTCAGACTGCACTAAAACCCCAGAAACTTCTTGCCCTTTTAGATATAATTACTCTTTGGAGGAGAGGAAATATTTGCAAATACTTTTTTTATGCCAGAGAGGCTGAGAAAAGGTAAGATAAATCAGCCAGTAGTGTGATCCAAGTGCTCACACTTCAGAGAGCTTTAAAATCCAAGTGGAGGGTCATTTTCTAGTGTAAAATATCTGTAGATCACTTGGTTTAATTCTCCTTTGGCAATGAATTATTGTTGTTAATGGCATCAGCAGAGGACTATTAAACTGCTGGATGATAAGCTCACTTCCTCACGTGAGGGCCTCTACATAGGAGCTAATGCATGTGTGAAGAGCCCACACCTCTAGACAATGTGCCTTACCTTCCTGCTGTGTCTCCATGTGAGCAAGACCTAGCTATTGCAGGTTTGGAGGTTCTCCTAAAGTCCTTTTTAGGAGGAATTTCCTTGTCACATGCTCAGTAATTCTGTTCCAAATCCAAGAGTGAGATTCACAAGGCACACAGGTACACCTCTCTGGCTGATTCTCACCTTATGGCTTTCCCTGTTCTGGTGGTCCCCAGTATTAATACTATCTAGGTATCTCAAACCTTACTGTCTCTGTCTTTATCTGGGTGCTTAGGTGGTACTGTTGCCACCATGTACAGATGGATAGCTGAAATGCATTCAGACAGCCTACAGCTGGTGCCTCATTTAATCATTATGGAAGCAAAATATCAGGACAACTAACCAAGGGCTGCTTTTCTCCATATATAATCAGTGGAGAATAGTAGTCACAGTGTCTTATTAAGCACATAAAGTTTCAAAGACATTTAGGATCCTAAAATGCAGATAAATTCCACAGTGATGTTCTTGAAGTCTCTGCAAAGTCTCTGCGTGGATTAGATGCCACTTTCCTATTAGTTTCCACTCAAGTTGCTGAAATGTTAAGAGAATCAGAGACTAATATATTATCTGCATGCCAAATATGCTTGAATACATGACCTTGAAAAGTTGGACTACTTTGGACTTGTCCAAGAGTATAGAGCAAACCTGTGATCAAGTAGGAAACTGAATTTCTGAGGTCAAATTTCTATTAATAATCAATAATCCAATAATTCTAGGACACATACAATCAGATACATGTAGAATCTGTGCAATACATAATGGAGTCTAATAAATGCATCATTGCACCCCTCCTCCGTTCACCAGGGATGCAGGAAACAAAGGCATCAAATCAGACATATTCCTCAGAGAATGCAGACCTCAGAATCCCAGTGAGAGCTAGAAGCTTTTCTGCAGAACGAATGTTCTATATTCCTACTATTACAAAGTACTCAACCGCACAGCAAGTATTGTTTGGACCACAGGGAGCAGGAGGACACTTCCCCAGGTTTGCAATTATATTGCTCACCTATCAAGAGAGACTTCTGAATCCTATTCTTGGCTCCAGGGATAGCTTTATGCAAAATACGTGGAAGGTCCTTCAAGCTAGAACTGGAACACAGGCCTCTCTATATTCAGGAAAATTCCCTACTATGCTTGAGAGTTATGTCTTGTTTTGTGTGATCTCTCTCCTCATCCTTAGTGGTTTAATTAATTCTCCTGTATACAGCAGCATGGTGACATGAAGTGTCCAAATACAGAACAGGCAATTGGCAGTAGCAAGAGAGTTGCTGCCGATTAGCATGCTCTCTCTTTCAGGCTCAAGGAATTTTGAATTATTTTCTGCAGACCACAATAACTCAACTTTCAGGTTATAAAAACCTAAAGTGCCAACAGCAATTAAGTGCCTCTAGGACTTGGCAGCAAGGCAAAGATTTTTAGGATTGCAATTTTTGGTGCCCAAGTGTTTTCTAACCTAGGAAAACTGAGGCATCAAAGTATGATAATAGTGTGGAGGATGAGGAATCCAATGATTAATTCTTTAAAGGGAGGAAACATATCTACCTATATTTTCCTACCCACAGATACAAAATTCCCAAACTTAAACATGTGCTATGGCTATTCTTTACCTATCACACCTTGTAAGGATCTGCGTATAACACAGTTCATTCCCTCCAGTTCAGTGAATCTCTGAGCTCCAAACTGTTAGAGACTCGGAGCCTGTCTGGGGAACGAGACATTTGCTGTAGCCTTTTACTCTGCCATGGTGTTTGGTTTTGGCCACTATGAAAGACAGATACTTGGGTACGTGGGCCTTTGGGTCTGACTGAGTACAGCTTTTTTGTAGAGCCTGTGGATAAATGGGCCTTTTTCCAGAGGAAGTACAATGTATAAGGTATATTGAA